TATATATATATATATATATATATATAAATATAGATAGAAAATATATTATTTTTGTTGAAAGGTTTTTTAATTATAATAAATATCGTTGTTTATCACATTTTATTAACATCTTGTCTATTCTTGTGAATATTCGTGCTATGGAAAATTCAAATTCTGGTAGATTTAATTTTAAGTTTTGCTGTAATCCTCGAAAATTGGAAAATCATAGAGCAAAAAAAAGTCTCCGACAAGCTTCTGTTAAACAACAAACTGCACATAATTTAACTAATAAAGACTATCTCTGCACCTCGTGCAGAAAAGCACTAGATTCACAAATTACTGCATTCAATTCTGTTGTTAAAGTTAATGACTGTGTTGAAGAGGAATTGAAAGAAGTTCGTTCTAAAAGTAAGATTAGCCAAACTTATTTATGTTCTGAATTTATTAATTTAATTAAATTATTTTTTAAATAGTTAAATCTTTTAATTTAATTCTCTTAAAATTTTTTTCTTTAATTTATAATAATTGAAAAGAATATTTGTAATAATTAATTTATAATTTATGTTGCAGCATCAGAAGTACCATTAATTGTTCAATATGTCGTAATTAGAGGAGACTTATTAAAAACAATGGGCTGGCCTGTTGGGGCTGTAATTGCACAAGCATGTCATGCTAGCACGGCAGTAACTCACATGTTTTACAATGATCCACACACACAAAAGTATCTTGCTGATTTGGATAATATGCATAAAATAGTTCTTGAAGTAAGTAATAATTATTAATCATAATTTAGAGAAAAAAAATAGAAAAGTCTACTTAATCAGATACAGAATTGTTATAATATAAATAATAAATTGGTACATAAAAAAAAATTAAATTGAATCAAGATGAAAAATTTTTGAATCAAGAAAAATTTTTTATTTTAAGAATTTTTCTATTTAAATTTAGAAGATGTTCTTCAAAATTATTTAAGTTAAAGTACCCAAAACTTGAGCACTTATATAAATGGGACTAGTACTTATACAGGCTTTTCGAATTGTTGTAATACAAAATCTGCATATTTATTATCAGTAATATGCGCATGTTATAATTATTCAATGATACAGTAATTGATTTCTGTAAGTTTTCTCAATTATAAATCAAAACAATTATCTTTTTGATCAAAGTTGACATTTCGAGAATAGCTGATAGATGCTATTTTTTTCATGAAAAAGGTTTTAAACCGTAAACCGAACAATCAGTTACAAAAACGGTGCATCATCATTTTAAGTAAAAAAAATTGTACACGGAAAAAAGTAAACTGTAATATTCACTTGGATTCCGGTTAATATTTTTATAGTTTCAAACAGTAAAGTGGACATTGGGGTGGCAAAAATATAAATATTACAGAATTTAATGTAGAAAGTATAAAAGCCACTATTTATAATTTAATATCCAAAATAAGTGATTAGTAGCTGTCACTATAGTAAATAACGACTCTTTCATCTTAAAAAATTACAGTTTCAAACAGTAAAAATTGCCATTTCAATATATAGTCCATATTATGAGAAGAAGGGGAACTCAGATAAAAGAGAAGGGGGTCTCACTCTGGGAGAATTTAACATTTGAAACAGTAAAAATTATACTTTTAAAATATACATTTTACCAGTCCAAGCAAGTCAATAATTAGTTTGATTTTTAGCGTTGCGTTTAAAATTTACCATTTTACTTTGTAAATATTGACGTTGCTTGTATTAGAAATTTACTTAGTTTATTTTATACTTTTTACATATCATAAGATTATATTTTAGGTACGAAATGATAAATATCAAAGTCTGAATTCTTAATTATTATACTTTGAGATTTTAGACATTCACATAGCGAATATTACTGTTTGAAATAGTATTTTCTTCCATGTTAAAAGTAAATTGTAACGTTTAAATGGTAAATATTATAAAGTGAATAGTAAAATCACGATTTTACTGTTTGACATGGTAATTTTTAGCAGTTGATAATTATACTTATTATAAACTGACTGTTATTCATTACAGTTTACTTTTTTCCGTGTACCAAACAATGAAATAGTCTTTTCTAAATATAATACATATTTTTTTTCAGAGACATAAACTATAATTTTTATATTAAATTTTAGCGTCTAATAGGTTTATCGATTAGTGATCAGCATTGTGATTTGTATTAATTACTGCAAATTAAATAAGTTTTATAGCTAAAAATTAGTGTAGTTAAAAATTATTGAACGTTATGAAGAGTTTTTTTGATTTATAATTGAAAATTAGCTTTGTCATTCATGAAAAATGAAATAAAAAAATTAAATACAAATATTTCTCATTTTTAAATGAACATATTAAATATTCATACTATAATTTTTAATATTATTCAATAATATGTTATAATTCTTTTGGTATTTCAATAAAACGTTGAAAATTTTTGCTGTGCCTATTGCCATATATTTTATTAGTTCAACTACTACTCCCGGAGTGTTCAACTACTGCGGCTAGTTACAATTGATTGTTCAACTACTACTCCTTTCATAGTCTATCTTAAAAACGTTGTCACAATATAAATATTCAATTATCTGCGTTATTTTGCACTTCAATCAATTCAAAATTGTTTATATTTTCATGAAAATCACTAATTTGAACTAATAATTACATCTTTATAAATTAAAAGTAAAGTCAAATACGTTTTACTTTGAAACCTGTTCAACTACTGGGTACCTTACTTGGTTCAAGTTAATTTTTTTTTACTTTGTAAGTACTAAAAAATTGTATTGATAGTTTTTTAAAATTTTCTTAAGTGGAATTTTAATAACAAAATTTTTTTAATTAATTTATTTTTAAAAATTAAAAAAATCAGATTTCGGTCGAATTAAGTATTATTAATTAATGACCTCCGCGATAAAAATCAATAAATCTTAATATTCTCAAAAAAAAAAAAATTGAATACTTTTAACGACATAAATAATAAATTAATTTTCAGGCTACAGATGAATCTAAATTAACCGGTTTGCATTCAAAATTGTCGGAGGCAGAAATCGATCATAAATTATGGATTGAACAACCAGAAAACATTCCAACTTGTCTGGTCTGTAAGCCGTATCCCAAAAGTGAAATTTCTAAATTTTTTAAAAAGTTCAAACTATTCAAATAATTTAAATACATCACACGTTTTATAATTATAATCAATAAAAAAAATATCAGACTTAATTAATGCCTTAATATTTATTAATAATGATACAATATTAAATATATTCATTATTACAATTATAAAATATTAACATGTGTACATTAAAGATTATAATTTATAATTTATTACTTTTTAATATTAGATACATACATATATAAAAATATCAATATTAATATATAAAATACAATATTCAGAACAAAAAGAAATGACATTAATTATAATTATTCGTAGATATTTTCTTATTAAATATATACACGAACTCACGTGCCTATTTATAAGTGCACGGTAAGTACATTATTTACATAACTTACATATTTTTATTTGAAATAATTATTATTTTTTGAATGCTAATAATTTAACTCTACATTATTAATTTTTTTCACGAAAAAAAAAATAATTTTTTTTTGCCTGGGATTCGAACCCGGTACCTTGAGTTGTTAAAAAATTCTTTATCAAAAAATTATTAATATATAAGTTAATAATTTAACGTAGTCTTTCAAACTGTTTTTACAATTAAAAAAACATTAATTATATCTTTTAATTAATTATGTTATATAATTAATCATTTATAATTAAACTAATGGTTGCGTAGTTTGTGCTCGCGTTTTTTCAGATGTTGTTGATGAAATTCCTCTTCCAAAAGCCATTTTTGCAAAAGTTTAGACTGCAAATTAAAAATAAAATTAATATCAACATATACTGCTAATTAATAACCTACATTTACAGAGTTACAAATTTAATTTTTTAATTACTACTAAAAATTCTATTTTTAGACCCCAATTATCCTCAACAAAAAAAAAATAGAATTCAAAGCCCAAAAACACGATTTTTTTTCTTCAAGGCCCCGAAAAAAATATTCATCCCTACTTTTTTGACCAACTACCCTCTAAATATTCAAGTCCTACTTATATAGTACTGAAAAAAAAATATTTTGACTACACTTGATTTGTTATGTAGAAGATAGAAGGCCTTAAAAGCCTAAAAATTTGGTTTTTTTCAAACCTAACAAAGAAAACTTTTTTCCTATGGAAAAATTTTGAGTTTAAAATTTTTTTTCAAAGTTTTGAAGCTATTTGCCAACTTTTTTTACTCTTATAATTTTTTCGTAGCTCAATTATTTTCCAAGATAAAAAAATGTAAAAAATTTGTAACTCTGTAAATAGACTAATTCCGATGATTAGATGTAAGTTAGTGGCATACGCATGCATAACCACCCTACAAGACCCCAGGTTATGTAACATTACAAAGGGATGCAAATTACCGGGTGAGTTAATGCGTAGGACAGTATTCGCAATCCATTGATTATCCTAGTGTATTCTTAGCATATATTTGCGGTATACAGATGTATATATAAATATATAATTATGTTAAATTATATTATATTAATAAATTATAAATAAATAATAATAATATTATTATTTTTCGGCTAAATTCCCACTGGGATCGGTGTATTCTTCCTCGTACTCGTCTTCGGGTTCGTCGTAGTCAGTTTCTGCGGGCTCGGGTCCTTCGTGAGCTGGGCTCATTGTACTCACGATGTCCTGCTGAATAACAATAATTATTTTGCACACAGAAGCCAGTGCTTAAAAATAAAGAAAAAAAAACACTACCCCCAAAAAAGTCAAGCCACCAAAAATTAGCCCCAAATTAATTAATAAATTTAATTTATTAAAATTCAATAATGTACCTGAGGTGCTCTCCAACCACACCCTGCAAGAGGGAGTCCATCGGCTCCGAGAGGACAGGGGGCGTCTAGTCCAGGTACTCCTTGGTCACCTTTGATCCCTTTGTCACCTTTACGGCCTTTTTTTCCCGGTGAACCCTGGAATTTGAGGCCATGTTAGAAGATCGAGAGGAGGAGGGATCATTATTGTCATCATCATCACAATCATTATTATCACAATTATTGTCATTGTCATTATTATGAATAGACGCCGATAATAATTGTTGTTATTTTTTTTTGTTATTATTAATATTATTGTTATTGGTGTTATAAAAGCCAGCTGATTAAGGCAATTATACGGCGTGCAATTACCCAGGCGTTGGTTAATTAGCAATGCTAATTTTAGGATTACTAATATGGGGAGATGTGCAAAGTGCTCTCGTCTTATTCAGTAAGATGATTTAATGATGAAATAATGATTTATTGTATATATTTTATTTTTATCTACAATATTTATATATGATCGTATATGATGATATATGATTAAAATTGATTATGTCTAATTATGTATGATCATACATAACCACATATGACCATATATGATCATATGTGATCATTCATTATCATATATGACCATGTGTGGTCACATATGATCATATACAATAATATATGACACCACATATGATCATATATGACCGCATATGGTCATATGTCATAACAAAGGTTCATATGAAATTGACATAAGTTATATATAAGCATAAACAGTCATATGAGTATCATATATATGATCAGTTGATCATATATGACATACATGTCACATATAGTTGACAATAAAGAAAAACTATCATGCATTTTATGGAAAAATTTTTAAGTACATACAATAGAGTAATTATATTTAAAAATATGTAAAGAATAACAATATATGATCAGATATATCACATAATGTTGAAGTAAAATATATTGATACAGTATTATCAATCAATAAACATTCAGACAAAACTAAGATTATATTATTTGATCTTGTTTGACATGTCTGATCATATGAAGCATATATTATCCTGTAGTAAATTATAAAACTGTTATCTGATCATATATGTTACATCTGATTCCAAATCTACTTATGAAACTTTGATCTGATCATACATCGCATATCTGGTTTAAAAGGAACTTATAATACTTTTATCTGATTTTATCTCATCATATGTGCTATATCTGATTGTACATGCCATATTCAGTTCAAAAGTAACTTTTATCTATCAAAATATGATATCTCATCGTATATATATGATCATATAGGATTTTTGCAGTTGTTTAAATGAGCATTCATATGTTTAATTTCAAATTTGAATAAAGATAAAACGCGAATTTTCTGACCCTACTGATCATACATGACATATCTGATCATATATGCTATATCTAGTTTCAAAGTGACTTATCAAAATTTCATGTATTGGAATATAACATATTTGATCATACATAGCTTATCTGATCATATATGACACGTTTGCTTTCAAAAACCACCTCAAGCTTCTATAGATCTGAATCTAATCTCCCACAAACATATTCAACTCCACACTCCCCCTCTAAAAATCATATACAATCAGATATCGTTTTCTAGCATTAATCATCGTAAAAATTCGATATAAGCTTGACAGAAAAAGTAAAAGTCCTTAAAAAAAAAAAAAAAGAAAAAATAGAATTCCATTCGTTCGTATTCAAGCATGGGCTCGTGCGAAGGGATGCGTGGCCATCCCTTGGCAAGAGTCCACACTATCGCGCTTCGTAGATAAAAGGAGCAACAGAGACAGAGAAACAGATATAGACAAAGAGACAGGCTTTAGCTTACTAAAGGGGGGTTACGACCCTCTCTATTGTCTGGCGAATATGGTGGTGGCAGCGACCTAGCATCGCGTTTCTGGATTCGACAACCGTCAGATATAGATATTTATCTTCTCTCTCTTTCTCTCTCTCTCTTTCTCTTGCACTCATCCCCGACACGGACACGGACATGTGTGTAATATGCAAGCCAAACTGAGAGTAAGAGAGAGAAAGAAATAGATAATGAACATTTTCATATCCCCCCTTCTTTATTAAAGCCGCCATCTTATCTTAGACTTAAACTACCTTGTAGTTAATAATGGGACAATAACTCGTGTTTAGGATACTCACGGTTTCGCCTGGGGCACCTGTGTCGCCTTTGGAACCCTGTAATACGGTCACATTGCAGGAGTGATTAATCGCCACGGAAGTGTGAAATTGTTGGAGGAAGACCCGGAAATCCGGTTTCTGCTGTTCTCTTCCACTTAAGACACACGCACTCACACATACACACTCTCAATTTAACATGCTTACACTGTGAAAATTTTATATTAATTTTTACTTTGCATAAATATCTTTTTTTAGTATGGTACATATTACCGGTGAAGTTTATTTCCCAGATGAATTTACAATTACCCATAGTAATTTCAGTTCCGAGTTATGTATGCTATAGTATATCACAAAAAATAAAATGTAACATAGTAAAATTATTCAGTGCCCAAACTAAAAATTAAAACGTGCGCTACGAAAATTTTTCAATAGATGAACATGAAAATTTATTTTGCATGCCTTAAGCGCGAGCGTAGGTATGCTCTACTCTCGCCTAAAAATGGAAAAACTGGGTTCCCTTAGAGTTTTATTTCAATAAATAATAATATAGTGGTTAAAGTCGGTTGGCTTTCATACCACAATAAAAGAAAACATCAATGGTCATTTTTCTAAACAATAAACAGCTGGTCCAACCCACAATTTAGAGAAAAATGAATTTAAAAAAAAAATCCTTTAAAATTCATGTAACATTCTTTTTGTAATCACCATAACTTTCGAAAAACAAAACTAATTCTTCTAAATTTTATTTCAATATGTCCGTAAATTTATTGTGATAAACTGATTAAAAAACCACAACTCTATTATTATTCGTTTGATTATAAAATAATAAAATGTGTACTGTCGAAGCTAAAAAATTTACATCTTAGGGGTTCTAGGTCATTATATCCATTGTAATAATATACAAAGAAAAAATATCCAGCAAAAATATCCAATTAAAAAATATGTATTATCAATATCCAATAGTAAAATTATCCAGCAAAAATATCCAATAGAAAAAAAATCCAATTTAAATGTATTCAATCAAAAAAATATGTGTTATTAATATTCAATATTAGTAAAAACATCCAATTCAAATATATCAAATCAAAGAATGTTTATTATCATCGCTTTAAAGTTTGTGATGTGAATGTACGAAAACGAGAGTAAATTTCCATTAAATTAATAGTAATTTATGTCATATGGCTACAAAGTGGCGATTTTCTGACAACGACGATGTTGCGATATGAGCTTAAGGTTCGTGGCGGGAATGTACGAAAACGGGCGCAATTTTAACGTCCTCGGCTTCGCCTCGGACGGAAATTTACGCTCGTTTTCGTAAATTCGCGTCACAAACTTTAAAGCGAATATCGTAAAATCGTCGTTGTCAAAATCATCACTTAGTGGCCAAATGACATACAATATTTTTTGTTAGTATCGCTCCATAAGTTTAACTTTTGAGGGATAGGAGGCAAATAATGACATTCAAATTTTATGAAGTTTCACAAGAGCAAAAAAACTTAATTTTATATTAATTATCTTTTTATTAATATTTATTCATAACGCGCTTGTTATTTTATTAACATTAGGTCCGCTTCGTAATAAACTGTCAGCAGAGAAAGAATTAGCGCCACTCAATAGTAACTAAGTTTCAAATTTACTCAAAAACCATCGGTCGGTACACTAGAATTTGATTTATTTTGTTCTAAATTTCATCCGATCGCACAAGGACAGTACGGAAAAGAAGGGGGAAGTAAACTTTGCGGCCTAGGCCGCGGAAAAAAGGCGGTATGGTAAAGTCTTTAGAAATGAGTATCTTTTCGGACGCCACCCAGCGCTTAAAAGTTGAACTTTTGGAGCGAGTATAACAAAAATTACTATTTTTTTGTTTTAACTAAATTTGATCTGGAACATGGTAAAGTTTTTCAAGATAATAGAATGCGTTTGTTGATTACGGTGATTATGTTTGTTCTTTCATTAACTTTCTGTGTGTTTCAACATAATTGAGAGTCTTTAGAACGAGAATGTACTTAACGTCGAACGATCGGTTAGTATTTGGCTTTAACTTCAGTCTGTTGGCTCGAGGTCAAATTATGTACTAACTTACGACGGTCTTATAGACAAAATTAATAGGACCGAGTACTGTGTGATGTCAAAGCTTACAAACATACTTTTGCGATGGCACATTTTTAAATTTAATGTCTATCATGGTAATTTATAAATAACATACATCGGACTAAGTAATATATTTATTAAATTACTCTAATGATCTATATAGTAAAAATAATTGGCAATACTAGTAATTTTTGGTCTTTTTGTAAGTTAAATTTTCCAGGTATATTTACTGAATAGTAGGATTCATAAATTTGTCGTATGGACAGTTGTAAATTTAATAGGAGTGAAATTAAACTTTTTCGGACTTGCATATGATTTATGTGCAGTTTCATTATAGTCTAGCGATACACTGTCCATACTAAAATTTAATGTAAATTTTTCACAGTGTCCAGTCAGACTAGAGCATTCTTTCAGTGTTAAAGGGGTTGGTGTTAGTGTCGGACAGTGGTGTGTTGAAAAGTCAATAAAAGTTGTTGGCTTTCGGACCAGGAGACTAGAGTCCGGGGTGAGAACAGAATTTCGGAAGCAAAAGCCTGAGAAGATGGTCATCGATGAAGAGATTGGAGTGGGGGAGTCCCGGAGGAACTATAAAAATCTATTGGTCTCCCCGAGGAGCCTTTCTGAATTCATTGGTATCTACTGACCCACTACAGAAAGAAGATATAGTGGATCTAAGATGGTGAATTGTCAAACTTTAATGAAATTTTGAGATTAGGAGAGTAGCGAGTTAGATAATCTAAATTTGGAATGTAAAAATTATAAATTTCGAGAAACTATCAAGCTTTTGAAGGATTTAGTTGTTTGAGGCAAGAAATTAATCATTAAATTGCGATTAAATAAAATTTTGATAACTCGAACAATAAAGGCAAAGTTTGAACGGGATTTGGTGATATTTTTAATCTTAAAGCTGCATTTCTATGAAATTTCGTCGACATTTTATAGTCTCAATGCTTGATCATCATAATTAGATTGCATTTTTATAAATATCACCAATATGTTTTAGATACAGGATTAGAACAGTATGATGAAGCTTTTTTGTTCAAAAATTTTCAATATTTTTCAAAGTGAGGACTGAAACATCAGTACTAGGTTACATTTTCATGAAAACTATGGGTATTTTGGAAATATATGACTAGATCTTCATTATTCAGAAGCATATTCATGAAAATTATCAATATCTCTCTAATATTATCTTAGAACATTATTATTAAGCCGCATTTTCATAAAAACTGTGCATATTCTAAGAATTTAAGAGTAAATCGTAATCATTAAGCTCCGTTTTCATAAAAATCTTAAATATTTCTACTATAAGACTAGAAAATCGTTATTAAATTGCGTTTTCATGTAAATCATTCTTATTCTGAAGATAATAGACTAGAAAATCATCATTAAGCCGCATTTTCATGAAAGCTGTGCGTATTTCAAGAATTTAAGACTATAAAATCATCATTAAGCATAATTTCCATGATATTCTTCAGTATCTCCACAAAAACATATCATCCAATAACAAACTCCGACTTCTGAGCTAAAACTAAAAAAACTTGACTTAAATAACAAATGTATTCATTCCGTTTTCCGTTCCTCCCCTCCCCTTTCCTCCTAGCGAGGTAATTCACCAGAAAGAGAACAACATAAACAATTCACCTCGAGATCGAGACCAAGAATATGAAGATAAATGACTAGTAAACTAAAACTCACTTGACAAACAATAGACCATAAAGTTTTTTATCGAGTTAGTTGAGTTAGGAGTTTGTAGGTTATAGTGAGTGCTTGTGGGTGTGTGTGTGCGAGTGCATACTGAGTAATGTAGTACTGAGTTGAGGGTATAGAGATATACATTAAAGGCGAAAGCTATACCTGAGCACCGGGAATCCCATCAGTACCCTGAGGACAAATGCAAATGGAATTAGTGTTAAGCTGGATAATGTCCTAATTGCTGAGTAATTAAACGTTTACTATCGTTATTATTGGTATTATTTATATAAAAATGGGGAATACTTACGGGTAGACCTGAGTCACCGCGCTCGCCTTTGACTCCAGGCTCGCCTTGCGCTCCCTGGGAAACAAAATTCAACGATAATTAGATTTTTTGATAAGGAATTATTAGCAAGTTAGTTATTATTATTCATTTGCTCACCTTCATACCGTCTAAGCCCGGCGATCCCTGCAAGGGATTAAAGGTCACATTTGTCTGATTAAATGTCAATGAAATATCTGATGGCTTTAAAAATAGTTAATGCTATTACCGACGAGCGCACACTATGCACAGCCGCCTCATATTTCACTTTTTTCATTGCTAATTTCCCAATCAACACTTTTGAAATTTGAATTTTCCGCTCGAAAGGCGGGTTTTCATGAGTCCGAAGGTTGTTTGGTGAAATTAACGATGAAAGCAAGCGCTGAGATCGAAATTCTTCAAGATACTGGTCTTATGCCATCAAGAGCAGGCTTTCGCATTCTTCTTGGTGTGAATTTTTTTTTTTTTTACCAGGGTTGCAAACCACAAATTATCATTCGGATATACTAATTATCTTTTTTCGTGAAAATCAATTGAAAAAAAAATTTTCTTAAGTGCTGTAAAGTCGAAAACTGCAAATTTTTTTCGTCTGAGCTTCGAAAAAAATTGTTGTATCAATCGTTTGTTCGAATTAACTTTTTATATCTATAGAGCTACATATGAAGAAAGAAAAAAAAATTATATAGACTATTTTTGATTCGTTAACTGGAACCCAGAGGGCAAAAAATGTCAAAAAATGCGATTTTTTTTTAAACCTAACAAAGAAAACTTTTTTCCTATGACCATCTTACCCTATTAAAAAATTTTTATGTATTCTAAGGTCTGTTTGTCAACTTTTCTTACTCTTATAATTTTGTCGTATCTTAGATACTTTGCGAGATAAAAACAAAAAAAAATCGACTTTTACCTTAAATTTGCAACCCTGGTCATAAAAGTATCGTTAATCGCAGGAGGGTGAGGATAAAATCTTTTCCTTTGTTTAATATAAGCAAGAGCAACAGGCACATGCACATTCTCGTTTATTAATCAAGACATGAAACAATGTTAGTTAATTTAATTATCTTTTGTCTTGTCATGTTCCTTCGATCTTTCATTAATCGATTAACAAATACATTTTACACTTATCGAGGATTAACCTCTAATGTTTTTTTCTTACGTAATAATTTTAATCAATTAATCATTAATTATTAATCTATAAATCTCAAAAGTCGGTTACATTTAAAAAATTGTTTATGTTTGTATGTTACAATTTATTTGTGATGTGTTTATGTGCGTGTTTTGTTAATAATAGTCATTAATAATAACAACCAAATTATTAATTTCTTTTTTTTTTCATAATATAAAAAATTACTATTAATATAAACATACTAATTACTAATTTTAAATAAGTAGTCTTTACCAATTATAATTAATATTAATAATTACAAATAATTAATACAGTCAAAACAAAAGCCCCGAGAGTACGCCAGCGTAGAATTTCTCGAAATTTATTTATATTAACCATCAACCATTAATCAAAATAATAATATATGTTAAGCCAAAAAAATAATAATCTCATCGAGGCTTTGATTTTTTTTTACTTGGCACGAGCCTCACGTTTCTCAATAATCATTATTATTATTATTAATATAATTATTAATATTATTATTATTATTTATAATTTACTTTTGTTCATTTTCACACTCGTACGTCCCAATTACACTCGTTACATACAAATTTAATTAAGTTATTTTAAATTAATAATAATAACGTTTGTTTTTTGTGACAATACGTGACAATAGAAGCGTAGGCCATTTTTTTTTTCAGCAGTTATACAGTCAATGTATTTTTTTCCTCCTTTAATTTTTTTTTGAATTTTTTTAAGTACCTTTTTTGAACTTCATTGACAAAATATGTACACAAATTTTTTTCCATGCCACTGAAGTTCATATTTATATATTTATATTCAGATTTTTATTTAGAAAAAAATTAAGCTACAAGGGTAGGAATTTTAAAGACTAAGTACAGAAGAAAAACATCAGATATGACTTTTTTTTAGCCAAAATTTTGGGTCAACGGATCGCTTAGCTAATAAGCTTATCTTATAAAGCCCAAAATAACGATTAAAAAAAACTTTTGGTGGCCCAAATCAGCTCAGTAGTCTTCGAGATATCGCAGAATCAATTTTTTGAGTCGGTAATCTGAGGTCGCGGGTTCGAGTCTCGAGTAAGTTTTTTTTTTTTTTTTTTTAATCTTATCTGACATTACTTTTCATTAAACACTATAAGACAAAGAAATTACGTTAAATCGTAAAATCATGATATATTATGTATCACACTAGCCTATATAGAACAATTGATCAGTAAACCTCTTATTACCACCATAATCAATATTTATATTTGAAATTTTAACTATCGTTCCGATTCTAAGTCCAAAGTCGACTCATTTAGTTTAAGTAACCTCCGCCTCGGTCCAATATGGCAGCTAATTATCATTATCAACGATAAACACTGTTCACTGTTGTAAAAGTAGAAACCTTTTTTTTTTTACCTACTCTTGTGAACGTTTTGTTACTTTAATTATTAATCATTTAATTATTTGTTTTAATACTGCGCTTAAATAAGTGACAAAATATATATAAATATATATATTTATGTATATCGAGCTCCTTAAAAAAGGATTCTGGCGTTATTAATTTTTTTTGCTTCATTGCAAATGGCTGCTCTACTTGGTATGGTTTGATGTTTAGTGGTAAGAAATCCTGGTAATTTTTTTTTTTTTTTTTTTTTTTTTTTCAGATAGGTTTTATTGTCGATTCTGTTGGTAGTAGTAGAAGTAGAAGTAGTAGATGGATAACCTAACCCCTTGTTAGTTGTTAGTCGGATCACCACGTGCCAACCTGTTTATTTATTTATTATTATTATTATTATTATTATTATTATTATTGATTATTAAGATTGTAACACAAGATTTTAAAATAAATTGTTACAATAACGGGACCCGGATATTATTTTTGGGGAGGTGTGACAAAGCAGGCAGCGTGTTTTTTTTACTGTATTAATAATAATAAAAAAAATTTTTTCTTACCATCGTTCCGGGTTTTCCGGCATCGCCAGGTCGTCCTGCTTCACCTCTCAGTCCCATTGGGCCCTGCAAATTTTTTTTTTTATCAGATACAATGGAAAAAAATTTTTTTTTTCAAAAATTAAAATTTTGATCACGAAATGCTTTTAAAAATTCACGAAAGCCTCCCTCGAACTTCAATTTAAGCGATTGAGTGGATTGCAGGTTTTTTTTTTTATCATGTGTTGACTTGATTCAGTACTTACAGGTAGTCCCATAGGGCCGGGGTCCCCCTTGGCGCCCTTCTCGCCCTGAAATATAAAACACATCGGATCCATTAGTAATGCGTTTTTGAAAGTACTTACTCACTTACTGCTCAAAAGATAGCCCTTTTATTAACTTGACTCACGATTATCCATTACACGCAGTGAATATCATAAATATTTAATGAGCTGTTCTATAAATTAATAATGACTCGCTACCGTCGATGGGGTACTTTTAGCAAGTGAGCATTACAAAAAATAAAAACTGAAAAATACATGAAAAGAAAATTGAAGGAATTTTCACTATTTTACTATTGTATTTTTTATTAAATAAAATAGTAACGGTGGACTATTCTTGTCAGCTAATAATTTTTACGATCTATTATTGTAAATTTTATTCAACAAACAAGACTACTAAGTAATATCTAGTAATATCTAATACTAGTAATATCGTATTTTTTCTACTCGAATTTAATACAATAATTATTTGGTGAAATTACGATAGTAAGTTGTAAAATTTCGTAAATAAATAGTAAATTTTCTTCTAAAATATTTGACAGTTATTAATAATGAAAGTATAGTCCAGCTTTACAATAGTTGTATTGTAAATTTTCCCAGAAATTTTTTCCTTCTATTGCATTGACACTCAAAATTAATACAATAGTTTTTCGTCAATATCTTAATGGTATTAAAATTAGAATTTATGTAAATCTTTTTGCACAAAAAATGACAAACATATACTACATTGACACTCGAAATCAATGCATCATATTTTTATAAATATTTCAGAATCTAACTACCTGATTTTTATTAAATTTTGATTAAGTTACTTTGGAGACTAAATAACATTAACAATTATAATGGGTACTCACAGGTTCTCCTTTAGTACCATCGTGCCCTCGGTCTCCTTTGATTCCAGGAGGTCCTTGTAGTCCTGGATTACCAGCTGGACCTGGTGGACCTGGAGGACCCATTATCTGCAAAAAAATGTCTCATTTAATAGAAGTTAACAATGTGAGAAAAATTAATATAACTATAAAAAAATAACCTACCACTTCTCCAGCGTTCACTTCAAAAGTGCCGTCGCCCTGAAGAGAAATAACCAAAATTTTATTAAAATTAATCTCTGACCTCTCTCGAAAAATTATAAAACAAAATAAGGATCTTACCTGTCTTCTTCTCAATTTTTTGTACTTCTGAAAACGGAGAAAGAAAAAATAAATTTAGAAGAGGTTAGTCTTTTAATTGTAATTGGATTTATCGAGGCAAATTAATACTAACCGATTCTCCTTTATCGCCTTTTTCTCCCTTGATACCCGGCGCGCCCTAAAAACAAAACCGAGGAATGAGCCAGTGTTTTTGACAAAGGAAAACAAGATTAAAGGGTTACATACCGGCGGTCCAGGTAGTCCTGGTGGACCCATCAACCCTGGTGGTCCAATGTCGCCGTACTCGCCTTTCTCGCCCTTGGGTCCCGCTAATCCCTGTAAAAATTGAAACCGGTTTTAAAATCCCAGGCTTTTAATCCATCAAGGAAATGGATTTTCAGTGGTGAAATACGTACCGGGAGTCCCGGTGGACCTTGTATTCCAGCTTCGCCATTGATTCCGTTTACCCCGGCAGCCCCCGGTACTCCTGCGTCGCCCTTAGGTCCTACAAAAGCCACCGCTTAATATAAAATCACCGATTCGGTTGTTATTAAGTGGATATTCTAGTTCGGAATTCGATGTTTGTTGAGGCCTAGTTCATTGACAATCAACGAGAGGGTTCCATGTCTTTCGAGGCGACCGCTACCTTACATATTTAATTACTCAGGGGCTTTTAATGGGTTGTAGAGTTGCTAGATTTTAATTAAATAGCTATTTTATTGATTGGACTCAGGAAATTTTTATGCGAAACATTCGATCTTTAAGAATAGCGATTTTTGATTATTTTTATCTTGAAAACTATCACAGATATAAAAAAATAATAGGAGTAAAAAAAGTTGACAAATGAGCCCTAGAATACGAAAAATTTTTTTAAGTGGGTAAAATGGCCATAGGAAAAAAGTTTTCTTTATTAGGTATGAAATAAACCGCGTTTTTAGGCATTTTACCCCCTCTCGCCTCCAGATAACTAATCAAAAGTAGCTTGTATATTTTTATTTCTACAGTTTATATATTGTGCTCAAAATTTATGAGGGTAATTAGAGCAATCGATTGATGAAAAATTTTTTTACGGGGCCTCAAAGACAAAAAATTGCGTTTTTTGGCTTTAAACGTGGCTCGACACACTCCATAACACTATTTTGGGTGATTAATGACTGTGAGAAGTATTTTTGTGGGAAAACCGAGGTATTAAAGCAAAAAAAAATTTTTTTGCTAACATCTTAAAGCGGGTAAGTATTAAATTTAGCGGTCGCCAAAATAAAAAAAAACTACCTGGTAGCCCTGGATTCCCAGGGTTGCCTTTTTCACCTGGTAAACCGGGAAGGCCAATTCTCAATGATCGTGGACAACGGCAGTCCCCTGTCATCTATAGATAAAATAATAAGTCTGCAAGATTGATATCCAACACAGGTCCTCCGTTTAAGAATAATAACTACAATCCCAAACGCTGAATGTGTTTCAATAATTAAATAGTCAACTTAATTTTCAATTCACAAAACTTGGGGCGTTTTGTTAGTCGGATAATTTGTTAAGTAGGAAACGGAGGAAAGGAGTTATTTCAAGAAAGTTAACGTACATACACACACAGAGCGTTTAATAGGACACTGGATTATTCTACAGCTACTCTATTAATTACTAATTACTACGAGCAGTAAAAATACTTACGGCACCACACAATGTCTACAAATACTGGTATTAACCGGCTAATTAGTTGGTTTAAGTATGATTACATATTATTAATAATTAATTATTGATTCTGGCTGGTAATTATTTGGCAGTAAATAAAATAAATCAAATCGATTAATACTAGTACAATTCAATACAAACGTTATTTGTCGAGAACATTAATAAGCTTGTGACAACATCACACCAAGCACACACAGACAACACACATACACACACACGCGCGTGAAATAACGGTTATGGTTATTCTTTTTTCTTCAACACACTAGAGCTTTCACATGGACTTATTTCCCGGTAACTTCAAGGGTCGTAACTAGTTCATTAGCTTCGATTGTACTTACACCCCTGAGGGTTGATTGCAAAAACGTCATTGAGCTTGAGAATCACCACCCTGCTTCCTTCTTTTGATCATCTTCATCAATAGTAATACTATCCAAAGGTGTTATTTCAATGTTAGAGCGTTTTTTATGGTTTTATAATCATAATCATTGTTCGGTTACCTGTCCCATGTTATTTATTTGAACCTTAGAATATTTTTATGAAATTTTTAACTATCAAAAGGTTAAATTACTTGACGGTTTTACTTTGATCTGATCAGATATGGTCGGATATATCAGACATGATCAAATATATAAAATCTGATTAAATAGATCAGATATGACCAGAAATATTCAATCTCATCAGATATATTAGGTATATTAGATACGACCAAATATTTATGATTAAAAATAGCAGATCTGATGAGATGTATTAGATATGACTTAATATATCTGATCTGTCCAAATATATCTGCCCAGATATATCTAATTCGATCAGATATGACCTAATATGCTTGATGCGCCTTATCGTATAGATTTGATTAATTGATAAATATCAGATACATCCAGGTGTATCAAATATAAGTAGATATACCAGATCTGATTAGATATATTGGGTAAGATTAAATATATCAGATCATACAAAATACATCATCAGATATGACCAGATATATTTGATCTGACCAAATGTACCTGGTCAGATGTACCAAATCTGATCAAATATGCCTGATGTGTTATATCAGATGTATTTGATATATGAAAAAGATCAGATACATCAGATATGTCCAGATATATCAAATATAACCAGGTATATCAGATCTGATTAGATATATTGGATATGATCAAATATATCTGGTTAGGTATATCAGATCATATAAAATACATCAGATATGACCAGATATATTTGATCTGACCAAATGTACCTTGTCAGGTGTATCAAATCGGATCAGATATGACCAAATATGCCTGATATGATCAGTTATATTACATATAATTGATATATTGAACAAGATCGGATACACCAGGTATGCCCAGGTATATCAAATATGACCAGATATATCAGATCTGATTAGGTATGATCAAATATATCTGATCTTATATATTGGATCTGATCAGATATATTCGATATATTAAACAAGATCATATGTAATCAGACCTAATGATATTTATCTCAAATATAAATAAATCGCTACCACCAAAAGAAACAAGCCAAAACAAAAAATAATAAAACAAAAATAAAAATGCCAACCAAGATTTAAGGTTGAGCACAAAGTCGCAATGCAGAGAGCAGTAAAAAGTGTATAGAAATGATATTACAGGTGTCAAAAGTCGATCGACTGCTGAATTCTCAAGCATTTGAAGCACCTAGCACAGCATAGCAGTAGAAGGAAGAAAGAAGGTGAGGGTTCTCACCCTCTTTCAGTCGGTTTCTGAGGGTGTTGGTGTTGGTAGATCGCTCAGCACATGCGAACCATGTGGCACGTCGGTCATCGTGATATTAGGCGGATTCTTCATTCCCATTCTACATTCTCCATTCTTCATTCTTTGGCAAATACTTAACATCTAGGTACTAGTATACTCATCATGCAGCAGTAGCATGCATCTGGGAAACTGGTTAACTGGGATTGCTCCAGGAATTTGACACAAATCTAGATGTTGTGATGTTGAAAGGAAGGATGTTCAATGGATTATCATGGATTGTCAAGGGGACAGAGGGACGATGATAGGGACAAGGTTGTGGAACTAGGAAGCTTCCCTCGACATGATCCAGTGGCCGGAGGACCTGAAGCTTACCCTCTTGCCTTGCTTGCCCCTGGCTCCCTTCTCCCCGGGGGGGCCGGGTGGCCCTATTGGACCCAGATCTCCCTTTTCGCCTTGGGCTCCTGTTTCGATTTATATTTATATTTGTCAGCAAGTTTATCAGATATCTTTCAGGTTCATAGAGAGAAAGTGTTCCGAAAAGATGAAGAAGAATTTAATGACAAAGTAACTGATTTATGGAGGTCTAGGAAAGAGAGGGGGTGGATTTTTTGAGCCGATTTTTTGGAGGGATCTACGGAAAACTATTTTACGTTAAATTATAAAAGAATCAGAAAAATCGGTCGATTAGTTTCCGAGTTATAGTCGTAGCAAAATTAAGGTACAACTCAAAGCGCGGGAGCAGGAAAATTTTAATCGAGATTTCTGGGTTAATAGTAAGAGATCTTTTTTGTGGGAAATTTAATTTACTTTAAGAAAAGTTCTTATCACTTTCTCTATATATCTAATCGTTCAGCCAGAAAATCAAGATTAATGTAAAAAAATTGATAATTTCTGAAGATTTTCAGTAAATCTTATGACGTTATCAGTTACTTTGTCAGAAAAAATTCAAATAATGATTTTAGAAGACTTATTAAATCAACAAAATAAATTGAATTACATCCATATTGACGGAACTATTTATATTATTCCTTTAATCTTTTATAAAAAAGGTATTATCATGAGTCTTAATAATAATTATTAGCGGTTGTCGGATTCCCGACAAAAGATCCAGGACAAAGGCTGAGCCTGAATCGATAGGAGCCAGAGAAACGTATTGGGGCTCCATTAAATAAAAAGACATAAGTGTAGTAAGGAAAGACATTTTTCTTACGCGGTGAAATATCGGCATTGATCAGCCGCCAAATGAAACAAAACAAGCACCAGGACTCTGATCAAGAAGAAGAAGAAGTAGAAGAAGAAAAAGTAAAATGGACGTTGTACATATATATAAGGTAAAACTATGAAGGCAGTCCGTCGGGCGCAATCTAAAAGTTACAATTGAACAAAGTTCTAATTGGCGAGAATACGTGAGCGGAGACGAAAGCCGCGATAATCGGTACGGGCTTTTGCCAAGTAAAGCGCGAGTACTCTAAATGTTGAGTTATACGACAAGACTTTTAGATAACTTTTTTTTAGTTACTTTTCTTATATTATTATTATCTTTATTACTAGTTCTTTTTCGGTTTTATTAATTGTCAGTGAAGAGCTTTTTATATTTCCTCGAGATCCAATTAGAAGAAAATGAGGAAAGTTGAATTTTTGATTTTTGGTATTGTGATAACTCTCGAATGAATCAACCGATTTTGACCCGGCTTGCGATATTTGATGCAGTTTTTGAACCTTTAAGTCTCCATAAAGTTTGAAAACAATTGAGCGAGTAGTTTTGAAGCTAATCCAAAAGAACAATTTTTTCCAAAGTGCAATTTTGGAAATTGTTCAAAATTTACTCGACCAATCAATTTGCAATTCTGTAGGGACCTTTAGGAGGTCAAATGCTTTTCATTACTGTAAATCCGCTTTTAATTTGTCGATTTGATTAAAAGATATCAAAGAATTAGAAACTGGCCAATTTTTTGACATTTCAATTTCTTACGATAATTCTTGAACAAATCAACTGATTTTGATCGGATTTGCAACAATCAATATAGATTATTGATCTTAAGATCCCCATGAAATTTGAGAAAGATCAACCGAGTAGTTTTGAAGTTAATTCAAAAAAACACTTTTCACAAAAGCGTATTTTTGGACATTGTTCAAAATTGAGTCAATTAATCAACTGACAATTTTGTAGGGAGTTTTAGGAAGTCAGATATTATTGATTAGTGCAAGCCCAGTCTCAATCCGTCGATTTGATAAGAAAATATCCAAGAATTAGAAACTGGCCAATTTTTGGACCTTTCAATTTCTCGCGATACTTCTTGAACAAATAAACCGATTTTGATGCGACTTGCGGTAATCAATGTAGATTTTTGATCTGAAGGTCTCCATGAAGTTTGAAAATAATTGAGGGAGTAGTTTTGAAGCTAATCCAAAAAAACACTTTTTTCAAAAGTGCAATTTTGGGAATTGTTCAAAATTGACTCGATTAATCAATTTGCAATTTAGTAGGGACTTTTAGGGGATCCAACGTTATTGATTACTGCAAAGCCGATCTCAATCCGTCGATTCGTTCTAGAGATATTCAACCAAAAATCAAAAAAATTGAATTTAAGAAATGAGCACTAATTTACTATGATAAATCATGGCACAAAATACATTATTACAACAATAGCTTAGTGCAGATAAGCTTTGAAGTGTGTTGACATATATTGACTTACCAGGAGGTCCCGGTGGACCGGGTGGTCCTTCAAAGGTCCCGAGAGGAATCTGCTTTCCGTCCAGTGAAGTTGTCAATCCACGGTCGCCCTTGTCGCCTTTGTCACCCTGGATTGCCAAGACAATAATTTTAGTGAGTAAATTTATATAAAAATATTGACTGTAGTCGCTCAATAGAGGAGAGATGAGTTAGTATAAGTAATAAGTAGGGGGCGCATATAAAGCGTGAAAACACATTTGACTTTGATTTGAGATTGATTGTCAGCAGCCACAAGGGACTATAAATCCCACCATCAACCATCACCACCATCAACACCAACTAAATCTATGAGCCCAGATGTTTAGTCGAAAACACACTCACGCAAAAGCGAAATCTGTTGTTCGGTATTAAGAGCTAGCGACACTCTAATTTAGTTTCGTTAGTTAACGTTTACTTTACTTTGTTAATGTTGTTGTTATTATTATTATAATCTGGATTACGTCAGCGAGGTTCCAAGCCCCATCATCCGGGTCTCAGAGGTTAAATTTACAAGGAAATTCAATGCAATTAAGAAGTTCGATCGCTATTGAAGGAAATTATTTTTTATTAATGTCAATATTGCTTATTGAAAAATTTGGATTTTTTAGTTGAATTTTTCGAAGGACCTAGAAGACACTTTTACATTAAGTTATAAAAGAAGCAAAAAATTAGTTTCAGAATTATAGTCGTTGTAAAATTAAGGTAAAACCCAAAGCGCGGGAGCAGGAAAATTTCAATTGAGATTTCGGAGTTAAGGATAAGAGATATGGAAAAATTGTAAGAGAAAATTAGACCCAAAATTCTGGGTTAAATATCCAAAATTCGGAAAAAATTATAAGAAACGTTTCTTGTAAAAAAATTTAATTTTCTTTTAAAAATTTCCTTATCATTTTTCCGATATCTCCAACCCTTAAGCTAAAAGAGCAAAGTTTTCTTTTTTAATATCCCACAAAACAAGCAATCGGACCTCCTTATCTACCCTCAAAACAAAATCCTTCACCTAAACACAAAAAAAGGTCTTAGAGACTCACACGTCTTCCCGGAACACCCCTAGTTCCATTGCGTCCTGGCATACCCTACACGACAGAGAAAAACAATCTATCTACAATCACAACCACGGATTAATTCCTTAAGTTGCTATTTTATATAAAGTAGGCAATAGCTCACGGGGATCCCTGGATGGCCTGGCAATCCCGGAAATCCTGGAGGTCCGTAATCGCCAGATTTCCCCTAGTCAGATCATCCATTACCAACTCAGAATAAAACTTACGACCTACATATAGTTGCATCCTTATCGAAGTACAGATAAAAAAAAAGTACAACTCACCTTTGGTCCTGGCGTTCCTGGAGGTCCGACGGGTCCTGCGGGTCCTACCGGCCCAGAAGCGCCCTTTTCTCCGGGAGGGCCTACTTCTCCTGGGATTCCCTGGCGACCGTCTTGCCCTGCTATTCCTTCTGAGCCTTGCGGCCCGGGTGGTCCTGGAGGTCCTGGCTCTCCTGGTTCGCCCTGACGATTACGATTTTTTAAATTATTTATTTTTTTGTTAAGGAAAAAAAAAGCATTAATTTTTTATCGCTAAAAATTAATGTACGAAATATTCTAATAATTTATTTTTGATTAACAATTTTTTTTATTTTAATTAATTACAAAATATGAAAATTTTAGAGGAAAAAAAAGAAATTGTGATTGGCTGTGACGGAATTATATCCGTCTGGCTGAGAACAAAAAATTAAAATCACACTAACTTCTTGTATTTTATACATTCAGATCACCATCAATCACTCAACAGTTAAATTTAATCTACTAAAATAAATATTATCCAGTAATATAACAGATAATCCTTTTTTTTTATTACCGCAAAAAAATCTAAAATAAATAAAAAATATGATTGATGTCAGGTTGAAAAAAAAAGTTTGGAAAATCCAAAAGTGCACGCCTCATAAATTGCCGTTTTGTTTATTTATTTAAGACAAACATAAACATGGATATAGTTTTTAAACTCTCTGTAAGATGGCGCTGCAAACCGGATATAATAACACGTCACTTCCGCTTGAATTTAAATTTTCAAAAAATAATTTCGTTTACTTAAAAATTGTACTTCGACAAATAAATTATTTAAATGTTTTTTTTTTTTTTTTATCTCAATAACTTTAACTAAATTTTTAAAAACAATTAAATCAAACAACACATGCTACTTATCTATTGATAATAAATATGACAAAAAATAAAAAAAAAAAGTTTTTGTGAGTTGGTGCAACGAGCAGAGAGTGTGTGCCCAAACACGAGCGCAGAAACTTTCATCTACTAATCTTTTTAGTTTTTTATTGTTTATAAAATTAAATAACATGCTAAATAACATCTCTACTAAACGTAACATTGATTTTAATAAATAATAATTTTATATTTTAATATTAAAAAAAATTTTTTTACTTTTATATCAATAACTTTAAATAAACTTTTAAAAAAAAATCAAATTAATCGACCATGCTACTTCCTTTTTCATTCTATTGTATATCTTGAAGACCACCAGGATCGATAATCTATGGGCGGATCGCTAATATACGATGCATAGTAAATTTTATTTTGTTCGCAAATATTCCATATACATATATATGTTATATGTAATCGATCATGTAGACAGTGCACTAGAACATCCAACGTAAGTATATCGAAGTAAAACTATTACGTGATTTGTGATTGGTGATCGGTATTGCACATATCAGCCCTTCAGAAATAACCTATCGAGACTGTCATGACATGACAGTCCAATGTCTAGATATATACATATACATATATATAGATGATATTCACTCAAGGGTTGTTCACCAGGTTTATTCGGCAATTATTTGTACATGCGATATTATAGATCGAGACGGAATAGGCACAAGCGCATCAGCTTTTTTTTTTTTACAGGATGATATATAGTATTATGTGATATAGTCTCCACATCAATCGCTAAATTTATGGAACCTTTGTAGCTACCAGAGCATACACTGGCTATTTGCTGAGGTTAGTCTAGACTTTACGTAAGCTGAATAAATAATTATGGCTAATGGAACAATAATTTATCTGTTTAATTTGGAAAGAATTTCATGTTAAGAAATACAATTTGAAATAATTAACAAAAAAATACAAATTTATTTGAGTTGACTACTATATAGATATACTCTTTGAATTAATTAAATTGGTTTTCTTAAGTTAGTTTTCGTGGTTAAGGCATAGCCTCAGAAAGTTTTAAATTTTTGTATACTTATTAAGGACATGATGATACAATTATCCTTAAAATTTGAAGTCGATTGACCACCTACAACCCGAGATTACTTTAATTAAAAATTGAATATTTAACATTGATTGCATACGCTCTCTGCAGTTCTGTACCAGTTTCTTAGTTATAAAAAAAAAACTAAGTGTCAGAAACTTTCAAAAAACTGACGGCTTTTATAATGTATTTGTTGTAAGTTTAAAAAAAAAATTTTGCTATCTAATTATTTAAAAATAACGGATTAAAGTCCACCAATTTATGAAAAAGTATATATCTACGGAGTTGGACAGAAATACTGTATGAGTTACGTCTCTACGGATACAGTCGTGCATAAAAATTATGGATTACTTAGCTACAAGCTCATATACTTTTGCAGCGCGTATAATCTCTCATTTTTTGACAATATTGTACCATGACAACTACCTTAAAATAAAAGATGACACTTTTTTTTGTGTTATCTTTGGGAATAAGCAAGTGATTCTGATTATTCTTGCGGGGATTAGTAGAGCTTAAATACGTAACAACCTAATGAATTTTGATTGAATGTAGTGAAATAGATACACTAGTAGCAACTTGGTTCAAGTCTTGGGCAAGTTTGGCTCAATAATCTTGATGAAGTATCTGAATACAAATTTTTACAATTCTTGGACAAGAAACTTACGGCAGATCATTCTTCAAGAATCGTCGAAGAATCGCTCCAGATATTTAAGCTTGTGGTCAGAATTCGTCCAGAAAATGGCCAGGAATGGTGAGGCTCCCCACCACCACTTTTTGAGACTTAGTTGTCAAGGCAGAAATTCGCATTCTTATTTCAGTACAATAATAATGCGCACTGTTAGTCTATTTCATTTCTCGCGCAAGTTTGGGTGAAACTTCTTTACTAACAATCTGAACAAATTCTGGCTGCAGACTTATTGTCACTAAACTTGACCAAGTATTGCTCCAGATTCTGTTTTAAAATCTTGTACGAATCTGTCACTAGTCTGGAAAAATAATCTCGGTTAACTGTCTGGCTCAAGAATTGTCCGATTCTGTTTCCAGGACTTGGTCAACTATCTGGCCAAAGAATCTTGTCCGAAATTAATATTACTAGGGTATCCAAAAAAATCGACTATTTTGTTAATTTCTATAAATTTCTCTAAATCTTAATATTTTTCCGCCCAAATTCGATAGCAGGCTCGATTACTAAAAAGTTTCTTTTACAAATGACTCTAAAAATACTCCAGCAAATCAGACATCTGTGTAAGCATTCCGCGAGCTCTGTTGGCAGATCATAGATCATGTTTCATGTTCCATTTGAATATAAGTTAACCATAATCACATAAATATGCCACACGCCACATGTTGAGGAGCCATATATCCCTTGCATTCCTCATTATAGCTTACAGCCTACTTTTCTTGTGCCTATTTACCCTCTTTTTGCATCACTACAAACTACCAACCATGATTGCACTATTTTAAAATTCGTGCGAAATCTCATGCAAGTATACTCAACTATAAATCACTGAATTTTGAACTTATAAATGTCTGTAACTTCTAATGTAAAATACTAGTTTTTTTGAAATTTTATGAGAGACCTTTTTTGTAGCCCTTTAAATTTTCTTAACAAAAGTTTTTCATAGTTTTTTTTTCAAAAATCAAAAATCTACTAAATATCCATAAAAAACAAAAGGAACTATCATTATTATTATAAATCGACGGATTGATCTCTTATGAATCTTCATATAAAATTAATTAATTGTTTATGACCATGCAAAATCTCATCCAAATACAAAACTAAAATAATATCGTCAGGATGGGACAAGAGGAACAGAGTCAATAAATAACGACCCTTACTCTTCCAGTGGATAAGATAGGTTTGTTAGTCCTTTTGAAATTAGTAAGCCATTATAAGCCGATGACTAAACAAACTTACCTTCAATTGAATAATTGTCTGCGCAGATATATTATGCCCGCGTTCTTGAAGCCCCTAGAATATTTCAGTAACGGAACTAAAAATAATGCTAATAAAATCATAATAAATAATAGAAAAAAAAGAAAATAATCTGTCATGTCCGTCAAGGGTCGAAGGATTACAGGCACCAAAATTAACCCTAGTAGCACAAAAATTTCTACTTTCTACCACAACTCTAAATTTACAAAAACGAAGAATATATGTATTACATATATAACATTAATAATGTATTGAACTGTGCTTTGTAGGGTTACCTTTAATGCGACGATTTCCGCGTATCCAAGTGTCCCACCGCGGAGCGTTGTCACTGACCTCTTTAACCCCAATCCCTGTGCATTGACCCGTAGGGGTGAAGACATTCAATTTATTTATATGTTTTCTATTTATTATTTTATTATACAGATAGATTCGTCCGGAAAATAGAGTAATCTTTGTCAGGTTAAAAACCCCCCATTTTTATGGTGGTGATTTGGGACCAGAGTTGCAAATTTTTACCTAAAATTAGACTCGTTGGGCATATCAGAGACCCCCAAAAAATAATCGAGTGATTTTTTCAAAAATTACCCACGTTTAAAGCCCAAAAACACGAATTTTTTTTTCTCAAGATCGCAAAAAAAATCCTTCCAATGATTTTTTGGTATAGCTACTCTCATATATTTTGAGAACAATAGATGCAGTAAGATAAAAAAAATATACGAAAGCTATATGATGTGTTATCTGAAAGATATAGGGGGTAAAATGGCAAAAAACGGAGTTTTTTTCAAACCTAACAAAGAAAACTTTTTTCTTATGGCCAATTTACCCACTTTGAAATTTTTTATGTAATTAAGAGCAAATTTGTCTACTTTTTTCACGTTTACAAAATTTTTTTATCTGTGATAGATTTTGAGAAAAAAACTTTTGAAAATCATCCTTGGCTGAGATCAAAATTTGTGAATGAATTGATGTTTGTAATTGTTGAAAAAAAAATATTTGCAGCTTTGGTAATGACTAATGACGGATGAATTAAGTGACAAAAATTACTCTAGTTCGAAAAAAAAATTAATAATTGTTAAATTTGTTATGAAAGCACGAATTGAATAGAATATAATGAAGAATCGGGTGAATTGGTGTACCGTCTGATACGTTCTTCTGTATAGTAGTATTTTTTTTCTGATAGAGTCCCCATTGTTTATGGTAGCTACCTTTACAGCCGAGAAGACATCAAAGCCGGGGCTCCCTAATTCCCCTTTTTGTCCTTTGTCACCTGGGCGACCCTGCAAAATTAATTACACTCATATTTAGTCTGCAGGTGAAGTTTATTAGCTCTGGTGCTAAAAGAACTGGAATTTAATAATAGCTTTTTTTTGTCTTTCATTAAAAGCTCTTTTTTAAAAATTCCATTTTTAATTACAAAAATAGTAATTTTAAAATTAATTACCGGATCACCTTTCGGCCCGTCTAATCCAATTGGACCCTGAAAAAATATGTAAAAATTAATAACACAGTAAATAAGTCGATTGGTAGTAATTAAGTAATTAACTATTAGCGAAGCAGAAAAAGGAAATAAAACCTGGAAAGCAAATGTTATTTAAGCAATGATACCGATGATATTGAAAAGTTGCTACAAATGACCCGGTCATAAAAAGTCTCGTTATTAAAACGGGAAAAACGCTTATGACCATGTGACGCACTCCAATATCGGTAACATGTTGCTTTCTGCTGGGGTATAACCAAACTTTTTAACGTTCTTCGGAAATTTTTTGTCTATTGACGTCGATATTGATATTATTGAAAGTTTGCAATTTTTTAAATTGCTCTAACTTTTTAAATATTGGTTTTATCGATTTTTTACAGGAAACCTTATTTGTTGGTCTTTAAATTTTCTACAAAAAAGTTATGTATAACTTTTCTCTAAAATCGAAATTCTGGTAGCTATGTATGAAAAATGAAGAAAACTATCGTTTTCGCTACAAATCGCCGAATTTATACCACAATAATTGTTTATAACCTCAAAAATATCGATTTTTTCGAAATTTCATAAGAAACCTTTTTGATACCTCTTTAAATTTCCTACAAAAATGTTTTCATAAACTTTTCTCTGAAATCAAATTTCTATTAACTATCTTCAAAAAACCAAAAAAACTCATTTCTGCTATAAATCACCGACTTTGTAGACAGAATGAAAAATTTCTTGACTGGAGAACGAAATTCTTGGCTCAAGAAAATTTTCGGGTGCCTGAAGAAAGACCGAAGTTGTGTTGGCCGAAGTTAAAATTTTCTTGAAATTCTATTCTTGGTGAAAGTAATTTTTTCTTAATTCAAATTATCATAAATACTTGATACAATAAATTTTTATATTTGATCAAAATTTTTAGATACTTTAGGGAAACAGCGCTACCTACTTCAGCTGAGAAAAAAATTTTCTCACCATGAGAAAATTTTTCTCTTGAATATTTGATACTCATTTTATAGTATTTTAGCGTGAAATTATACATATTGAATGAAAAAAAATGATTCAATATTATTTGATCTTCCCATTTGACATGTAAATCAACAGAAATATTAATGAAAATTTACTTCTATCGAGATATTCAATTTTTTGGAGCAAGAGAGAAATTTTCTCAAGACAAAAAAATTTATTTCTATCAAGAACTAAATTTTTTGGAGCAAGAGGCTCAGTTTTTTCAAAACAAGAAAATTTTCTTGACTTAGATAAATTTTCTTGGATCAAGATACGTATTTCTTAAAGTAAGAGAATTAATTTTGTTGGAATAATAAGTGAAATTTCTTGTGTCAAAAAAAAATTTTTTTTTCGCTCAAGAAAATAATTAGGAAGAAATAGTAATTTATGTCATATGGCCGCAAAATGGCGATTTTCTGACAACGACGATGTTGCGATATGAGCTTAAGGTTCGTGGCGGGAATGTACGAAAACGGGCGTAATTTTAACATCTGAGGCGAAGCCGAGGACGGAAATTTACGCTCGTTTTCGTAAATTCGCGTCACAAACTTTAAAGTGAATATCGTAGAATCGTCGTTGTCAAAATCACCACTTAGTGGCCAAATGACATACAATATTTTTTGTTATTATCGCTCCATAAGTTTAACTTTTGAGGGATAGGAGGCAAATAATAACATTCAAATTTTATGAAGTTTCACAAGAGTAAAAAAACTTAATTTTATATTAATTATCTTTTTATTAATATTTATTCATAACGCGCTTGTTATTTTATTAACATTAGGTCCGCTTCGTAATAAACTGTCAGCAGAGAAAGAATTAGCGCCACTCAATAGTAACTAAGTTTCAAATTTACTTAAAATCCATCGGTCGGTACACTAGAATTTGATTTATTTTGTTCTAAATTTCATCCGATTGCACAAGGACAGTACGGAAAAGAAGGGAAAAGTAAACTTTGCGGCCTAGGCCGCGGAAAAAAGGCGGTATGGTAGAGTCTCTAAGAAATGAGTATCTTTTCGGATGCCACCCAGCGCTTAAAATTTGAACTTTTGGAGCGAGTATAACAAAAAATATTTTCTTGGCTTAAGTGAGCCTTTTTTTCTGTGTACCTTATTGATTTCTGTAACTTTAACAATAGTAATTTTTTTCGACCCGGGGAAAAAAAATTATATATGATTATATTTAATTATATATAATTTGATCTAATTTTATATAAATATATATAAAATTTAATATAATTATGTATAATTTTATATAATTTTGTATAAATATATAAATTTATACATAATTATATATAATGTTATCTTCCCGGAGAAAAAAATTTTATATAATAAGATATAATTATACAAAATTATATAAAAATATGTATAATTTTATATAATTTTGTATAATTATATATAATTTTATCTAATTATACATAATTGTTAACTTAAAATTTTATATAAATATATATAATTATATAAAATTATGTATCATTTTATATATTTTTGTATAATTATATATAATTTTATCTACCAGGGAAAAAAATTCTATATTATATAATTTTATATAATTATATATAATTTTATATAATTATATATAATTTTATATAATTATATATAATTTTATATAATTATATATAATTTTATATAATTATATATGGCCAAAACACATAATTATATATAATGATTTATATATAATTATATAAAATTATATATAATTATATAAAAAAAATTTATTATTTTTTTTTAATTATATAAAAAATTTTTTTTAATTTTTACATTAAAAATAAGTAGGAATTGGACCTCACAGAATATTTGCGATTATCTATCTGATGAAAAATTCTGAGGGTCGACGGGATTTGAACTCGGGTCCTTCTAGTTGCCAGTTCTGCGCGCTACCACTGATCCAGATTGCACGATGCAGCTACAGAACATTATTTATCTGACTTACGTTATATGATCATGAGGGCAAAGTAGTTCCTAACAATTTGACCTGCTGTTATATATATAGTACATAGTAAAATAAAAAGCAAGCCTTCTTTGTTAAATTTTCCAAATACTAGATAACGTAAACAATCAGTCGAATGGTCCAAAAAAGATAGTCAATTTTACGTGGGTTTACTTGATTAAATAGCATTACCTTCAATTGTACTCGGGAGGTTGTTTCTAGATAGTTCAACAGAATATTATAAAATTTCAGAACAAACTGAATGACGATCACTATTTGTTAATTAATAATAGGCAATTGAAAAAATGCTAATTATGTAAATTCTTCTTCCGAGCTGATTGATTTTAGATTTTCGAGGTGCAGAAATGAATTGTAGAGCTTAAAAAAAACGGTAATGTTTTTTTTTAAATCAGCAATTTTCAGTGCCCATCCACATGCTTCCTTATCTAAGCTTTATAAATTAATGTAATACATTGTTTAGTGATTTTCTTATTTGATACATATCGATATATATATATATATGTCGACATTCTTAGGCTTGAATAATAGTAAGTAAGTAAAGTTTCCCGTTTGACCATTGCAATCAGGAATCATAGCTATTTATTTGCAAGTTTTGACTAACGGCGAACTTCTAAGACTTTCATCTATTTTAAAACATCCACGTCTGACCAATAGCAGAAAAATTATAAACAATTCAAATTTAAGCCTAGTTTTATAAAGAAATGATTTAACTCTTGGGAAAATATTCGGATCGCCTTGAAATTTTAACAGCTCACTCCTTAAATAGGATGATTTATATATAATCATGTAAAATTATATATAATTTTTTTCACTAGGGAATAATTACAATAAAAAATAAAGATTAACCGTAAATAACAGATAAAATCAAAAATCAAAAATTAAAACTACTACTTTCGTGATGCTCCATGAAATATTGAAGAATTTTAATAAAAACCTAGCCTATCTTGTGTTTCAATTCAAATAAAATAAATAATGTTCTGTAGCTGCATCGTGCAATCAGTGGTAGCGTGCAGGACTGGCAACTAAAAGGACCCGAGTTCAAATCCCGTCGACCCTCAGAATTTTTCATCAGATATTTGATCGCAAATATTCTGTGAGGTCCAATTCCTACTTATTTTTAATTTAAAAATTAAAAAAAATTTTTTATATAATTGAAAAAAAATATTAAATTTTTTTTATATAATTATATATAATTTTATATAATTATATATAATTATATATGACCAAAACTCATACATAATTATATATAATTTTTTTTCCCCGGGCGAAATTTTATAAGAAACCTTTTTTGTAGTTTTTAATATTTCCTACAAAAAAATGTTTTACAACTTTTCTCTAAAATCAATAGTTTAGCCGTTATTACCTCCTAAAAACAATATCATAGCATAAACTTTATTTTATCCCAAGGTAATCTAATAGTCTTTTGCTTTGTTGGAATAACTTTATCGAAAAACCGCCGGCTAACAGTAATTACCAAAAATAATTGAATTTCAGTATCAAAATTTCACATCAAAAGACAAAAATAATCGGCACCGACTAAAAAAACATAAAGTATATTTTTTTCATAAAAAGTTTGTCGAGTAATAAAAAAAAAAAAAAAAAAAGAGTTAATAACAATAATTCAGGGTAAATTAATGAAAACACGATTTAATATAACAAAGTTTAGCGGACGTTAATAAAGTTTAATAGGACTGCAATTGGATTTACAGATATCACGAAATCGAGAAAGGGACGTTGGGAAAAGGATAGACGCCAGGTTAGGTATTAGCTAACGCTCATAAGATTACCGAAATTTGATTTTGGGTAGACCGCGAATTGAACGCCAAAAGAGATAGCCAGTATTAGTTCCAGGGAGAGGGAATGCAAATGGAGAGGGTTTATTCCAGAGAATGAAACAGTCCGTGCCGTATGAAAAGCTAACGGCTATCAGGATGAAGGGGGAGGGGATTCTACGGAAGGGTTAGTTTGCAAAAGACACAAATAGAGCGCAGAAGGGGAGGGGGTTGCGTGATTCGCTCGGTAAAGGCGAAATTGCATTAGTGGCTCGTCCACTGCATGCCAACGTCAAAGCGCGGATTTAAACAACCCTTTTTGTTACCCGTTACCGAAATTAACAGCGAACTCGGATATTTGAAAGCATTTCGGAGGACTAAAAGGAAAATACTGATTTTTTTTGGGTTACTGACAGAAAAGTTGATGTAACTTTGTAAATAAGGAGTTTTTTGGATTTTAGTAAGAGACTTTTTTTGTAGCCCGTAAAATTTCTGACAGAAAATTTCTTAACAACTTTTTATAAAATCAAAATTCTACTAATTGTTTATGAAAAATGAAAGAAACTGTCGTTTTTTAAATAAATTACTAAATTTTGTACTTATAAATGTTTGTAACTTTTAAAATATTGGTTTTTTCGAATTTATATAAGAAACCTTTTTTGTAGCCCTTTAAATTTTCTTAAAAAAAGTTTCTGATAAATTTCTCCAAAAATATAAATTTTTGTAAATATTTGTAAAAAACGAAAAAAACTATCATATTTGCTACAAATCACCGAATTTATACCTTATACATGTCTGTAACTTCTAAAATACTCATTGTTTCAAAATTTTATAAGAAACCTTTTTTGTAGCCCTTTAAATTTTCTTAACAAAAGTCCTTCATAATTATTTCAAAAATCAAAAGCCTACTAAATATCTATAAAAAAAGAAAAAAACTAACATTTTTGTTAAAAATCACCAAATTTATACTTTATCAGTGGTTATAAGTTATAACTTTATAAATACTAATTGTTTCGAAATTTCATAAGAGACCTTTTTCGTAGCCCTTTAAATTTTTTTAAAAAAATTTCTGACAAATTTCCTCAAAAATCAAAATTTTATTTAATATCTTTGAAAAACGAAAAAAAAAATATTATTTTTGCTAAAAATCACCGAATTTATACCTTATATATGTATGTAAATTTAAAAATACTAATTTTTTTGAAATTTTATGAGACCTTTTTTGTAGCCCTTAAAACTTCTTACAAAAAAGTTCTTTGCAACTTTATTCTAAATGTTGGGATCTGGAGTGGAATACTGGTTTAGGTGAATGAGTACACTGATAGAAAATTTATGTTGACTCAAGAGATATTTTCTTGATCTAAGAATTTATTTTGGAAGACAAATGATTATTTTGCTCTAAGAATTTCTTGTCTTGATTTAGATTTTCTTGGCTTAAGAGCAATATTATCTTCAATCGATACATTTAAGTTTTTCAATCAAAATAACATTATCGTTTAAAAAACTTAAAATAATTCATCAAAGTATAATTCAAAAACTAAATAGTGTTTAATTGTTATACCAAAAAAAAAATTATTTCTTAGAAATAAGTAAATTAATTAATGACTCAAAAAAAAAGTCATTCTTAACACAAGTCGGGAACATCTGGAATCAATGTTATCGCCTATCTTGAACCAAGAGACAAAAATTCTTGAAAGAAATATATCTATATCTAGTTTCAAGAGTTCAAGTTTTGAAGAAAAAAAGTTTCTTGAATCAAGATTGTTTTTCTATCAGTGTAGTTACAAGGAGCCGTTGTGTATGCATCTATACATGATGGTTTATTATAACAGACTAAATAGTACAATAGTATTTTTATGCTATAGTGACGATGATAGGACAGTGGGGGTAGGTAGGATGACATGCATGAGCCGATGACTTCAACACTAAAATAAAAATTCTCCAAGCGACCCTAAAAAATAACCAAAACTATCATTTTCGCTACAAATCATCGAATTTACACCATATAAATTAAATCTCAACTAAAAATTTGAATAGTGCGCTACGCGCACGCCTTAATTTCGACCAATAAGGAATCAGGTTCCATTTTTTTGTGAGTTTCGACTATTTACTAACTTCACACTCTCATGTATTTTTTTTTGAAGGGATAACTTCAAAAATATCAATTTTTTTTTATTTTATAAGAGACTTTTTCTGTATATCTCTCCAAATTTTCAATCAATTTTGTCTCAACAATTTTTCGATAAAACCAAAATTAAAGGACTAAAAACCAAAATAAAGGAACAGGCGGCTACTAAATCTGTAAATTCCTTACCGTCGAGCCAGCGTCCCCTTTGTCGCCCTTGTTTCCCTGAAATTTCATTATATTTTCCTTTATTTTCAAATTTCCTAACCAATCATTCAATTTTTTTTTTTCTAGGTTAGTAATTTTAACCAAAAATACTTCGGGTAGGGAGGGAGTAAAAAGACCCACTGGTTAAAAATCAATGAATTAAATTAAAGTAAAGTAAAAAAGTGAAGAAAGAAGCAATAAAGCCAAAAGAGGATTAAATAAAAACGAAAAAAAACACTACCGGAAAACCATTCTTGCCAGGAGTCCCTGCAACACCCTGGAAAAATTTGGGTAAACCAATTAAATTAGTCAACACAAAAAAAAACCATGCAAACTTAAATTTTCATGCTTAATATTATTTTTTTATTTTTTATTTTAAGGTTAGATCAAGTTAGGAGTTTTTTTTTTAATTTTTCACAATAAATTTTAATAAAAAAAAAAAAATCTTACAGGTGGACCAAGTTCTCCAGCGTCGCCTTTTTTGCCCTTCTTGCCCCGCTTTCCTGGAGGTCCTGGCTCTCCTTGCGGACCTGCGGCAAAAATAAATTATTTTTTTTATTTTAAGTTAAACTTACGTCTCTTTATATACTTACAATTATAATTACGATAGTAATTATAATTTTTATTATTATTATTTTATATGAAAGTAATTTTAGCGGTAAAATGGAGGAAATCTGGACAGTGAGCTCGTATGCCCTCGGGCGAGCTAGAGCGTCTTTTAGTTATAAAGTAAGGGGTTGAGAAAAGTGGTAGAGTGGAAAAGTGGAAAAGTGGAAAAATGTACGATGGAAAAAGAATATTTTAACATTATAGAAAGCTATTATGAGATTCTAGATAAAAATCCAGAGAAACTTCTTATTTTTTTTAGCTTCTTTGGTTTTTTTTTGTTAATGTAACATTTGAATTAAATTGACTGATTTTGTTGAAGTGTTATTTTTATTTTATGAAAAACAATTCAAAATAATTTAATTGATTCAAAGTGTTTATCTATATAGTATAGCTAACTCAAATAAATTTGGATTTTTTTTTAATTATTTCAAATTGTTTTTCTTAACATAGAACTTTAGGTACATAACAATCTGATAAATTTTTATTTAATTTGGTTCAGTAGTTTTGAAATTACACAGAAAGCTATAAATTAACAAAGAAGGCTATAAAAAAACGAAATTTTTGTTCATTTTGCTACAATCTTCGGAATTAATCACCCAATTTTAAAAGTTTTCACCAAAATCGAAAGATCTTTCAGAGATTTAATAACCTCATAACCTTGCAATTCAATCGTTACAAAAATTTCGAAATCTCAAAACTTAAAACTTCGAATGATTTACCTCCGTTAATTTTCTTTTTGCACGCCTCATAAGCGAAGCGGATGAGGTGGTGCTCTACTCTCGCCTTGCAAAAACCAAGTGATTTTTTTAACTAAAATTGTGTCTATTTATTTTCTATCGCACTTGTCGAATAATCTTTACACATAAATGTCATGGAAAAACACCAGTTTCAACACTTATGACATTTTCAAAAGACATTTTGCTTTTTAAATGAATAAAAAAAATTATTCCGTGGACGTCCGTGTGACTGATATATGGAAACTGGCGTGGTCACGAAAACTGCCGAAAATCTTAACTGATCAAGTCCATTTTTTTATACGCTTCAGTATCATCCAGAACTAAGTCATTTCGAAGATCACGGTCTAATTCAATGTAGTTTAATTATAATTAGCAACAAATTAAAATCCACTTATCGCTTGTATATGTATATCTATAATTTGTTTGACAATGTTAACGCGAAATGAAAAAAGAGGTAGTAGCACTTGGTGCATACACAGCACATATGCAAATCGATATGTCGATGCACGTGCGTCGGACACCTCGCCGGTATTCCACCCTCTCGCACGCACATTCACCGTCTCTATATCGATTTCTGTCTCTCTTAAGGCACCATGGATGCCCATCTGACAAATTGCAACGTCATTACTACCAATTTGTTTACACGCCACCGGATAACCGGAACATGGATCAGCCACAAGGATAAATTCCGTCTTGGATTTATTAACCGATCTTAAAATTAGTTGTAATTGTTGATGTTGATATTGTTGTTAACATCCTCGAAAGGATTGTGGAAACAATTAAAAATGTTGAATTAATAGCTGCGTAAACTTTGGACGTTGTTTCTTGTATACTCCGGGGCAACAATAAAAAAGGAACACAAAGTGGAAAAAGTTTTCGAGCTCTCTGGTTACAGGGGTTGAGTAAAAAGGAAATGTCCGAGGAGAATTACGAGCTACAAGTTTTACATCTGGTGTTAAGTAACGACCCCTCTCGAGAGTTGATTGCTTTATAATCGAATACAGGGCAACTTGCTCATTAACTGGCTACTCAGTACTTTAACTACTAAAAGTTTTCCTCATTTTTATTACGCAAAATTCGTGATAGACATTTTTATTTCTATACACGGAAAAAAGTAAACTGTAATAAATAACAGTCGATTTATAATAAGTAATGATCAACTGCTAAAAATTACCATTTCAAACAGTAAAATCGTGATTTTACTATTCACATTGTAATATTTACAATTTAAACGTTACAATTTACTCTTTACATGGAAGAAAATACTATTTCAAACAGTAATATTCGCTATGTAAATATCTAAAATGTTAAAGTATAATAATTAAGAATTCAGACTTTAATATTTATCATTTCGTACCTAAAAAATGATCTTATGATATGTAAAAAGTATAAAATAAAGTTAGTAAATTTCTAATACAATAGCAACGTCAATATTTACAAAGTAAAATGGTAAATTTTAAACGCAACGCTAAAAATCAAACTGTAATTATTGACTTGCTTGGACTGGTAAAGTGTATATTTTAAAAGTATAATTTTTACTGTTTCAAATGTTAAATTCTCCCAGAGTGAGACCCCCTTCTCTTTCATCTGAGTTTCCCTTCTCTTCATAATATGGACTATGTATATTTAAATGGCAATTTTTACTGTTTAAAACTGTAATTTTTAAAGATGAAAGTCGTTATTTACTATAGTGACAACTACTAATCACTTATTTTGGATATTAAATTATAAATTGTGGCTTTTATACTTTCTACATTAAGTTCTGTAATATTTACATTTTTGCCACCCCGATGTCCGCTTTACTGTTTGAAACTATAAAAACTAACCGGAATCCGAGTGAATATTACAGCTTACTTTTTTCCGTGTATCTATGGAAATAAGGTTCGTTTACAATACATGCCCATTACCTTTCATTTCTGGGTGGACAATGGCGCGAAAGATTGAAAAGTATTTGTATTTTATTTTAATCAATTTTATTATGGAAAATGAGATTATGAGGCGTGCACTTTTGGATTTTCCAAACTTTTTTCTTCTTCCCTTCTTCGAATATCACTTTCGCTTTAATTAATTTTTCCAGAACATCAGCTCTGCTCTTGACTATGAATCTTTTAAACAATTGTTTAAATTTATCATTTATATACTCAATCTGGATATTTATATGCATTGTAAGTAATTAAAAATTGAAAATATAAATAAATTCTACTATATATACATACAGATCAAGTTTAAATTATCGAAAATAACTATCCTATGTTACTACTCGACTAATTTCCGATTTTCCGTCTTCTTCTTCCAATAAAAGTTCATATATTACATATTTATATATAAAATATAAAACATAAATACATGAAGTATAGCTTGGGGCTTGCTATAATAAAGTTGACGTTAAAAGGAATGAAGAGGAAGTTTATGGCAGGTAACCCCAGCCCCGGGGTGGAACAACTAAGATAAAAGATATTTTATAAGAGAGACATTCCTTTGGTCGCGTATTCTCACTAAATTCCGAATATCGTGACTTCCTTCCCCTTCTACGTAACTCTACTAATTTTTTGCCATTTTTTTATTATTTTTCATTTCTGGCCGTCTCGCTCGTTGCATTAACGAAGGCTCAAAATCTTCCCTTTCCACTTTGGCCCTCTGTTAACATTAAATTGTATATATATATATATAAATGACGGTGGTTAATCGTCGAAACGAGGATAGAATTTTCGGGATAAAAGCACGTTTTACCCTCCAGGCATGTCGCGTTCATTCGTTTATATATCTAACTATCATGCTCGCGGCCATCTTGACAATGTCCTTTTTAGTTTTGTACATTGTAGACCTTGTAGAAATAATGAATTGATAATAATAATTATTATTTTGTTTAAATTTTTATCATAAATTGTGTTAAATAAGATTTTATGAACGTGTTTGATTAGGCTACGGGATAAGAAAAGTTTAAAATTAATGTTATGATAAATATTGAAGATTAAAAAAAGGATGAAAAATCTTTATTGTAAAAAATTAAATTTCCTATAAAAAAAAGTCCTTTTCAATTTTTTTGTATCTCATATCGTTTAGACGAAATTTGAATTTGAAATTTTAATACGTTCATGAGGCTAAAGCTCAGCAATGATAATAATAGATTTTTCAAAAATTGTCGTAAAATCTTAAAAGTGTGAGGATAAAAGTGAAAAGTTAAACATATTTTTTGGGTAAGAGCTAAGGTAAACCTAATTTAAGGCGCGAGCGAGTGAGAAAAAGTGTTCGGGGACGCGGACGACAGAGGGCGGGATAATCGTGCTTTAAAAGCCAGAGTTGATCTTATGCTGGGGATCTCAGCCGAAACTTTACCGGATTTTATTATCATTTTTATTTTTATCCTGTGAAGTGTAGGTATGTTGAAAGCTAAAAAAAGTGAGGGTGTCCAATCTCGCTTTGTGTTTGCTCTCAGCCTGTCTTCATTTCCTTCCTTCTATTCTCAATTTTTCGATCTACTTCCCGAGGGAAATCGTCTCGTCGGTTAGGAAAGGCATTTATTGTTTGGATAAACACTGAAAATACGCTCTCAAGATTTTTACGGGTAATATTGTTAGTTTACTAATTTTATTTCGCTATTAATTTTTAATTATTTTCATTTTCACTGATACGTTGACTTTTTTTTTAGCCATAACTTTTAAAATTTTGTTTTTAACGATTTTTTGCGTAAGACCTTTTTCTTGAAAAATTGAATTCCTTATAAAAAAAGGTCACTTATGATTTTTCCCTATTTTCAACCCTTAATCCTAAAACTTCAATAAAACTTTTCCTGATCCCGCTTTTTGAGGTGTACCCTGATTTTTAAATGATTATAACTCGGAAACTACTTGACTGATTTAATTCATTTTTTACACGCTTTTTATTAGCATCACCTGTATGTATGTTTGTATGTTTGTAACCGACTTCTTTGGGCGCGATTTTGACCGACTTTAAGCAGCCAGATTTCGTTCAAACTTTGTAGATTTATCGAGGACCGATGACAATACACTAATTTGATAAAATTATTCCATTTTTCAATTTGCAAAATATGATTTTTGTTAATTTATATAATTTTCATCTATAGTCGATAAGGTAAGAAACTTAATTTTAATTTTTTATATTTTTCTCTACAGTCGATAAGACAGGACTTGATGTTAATTTTAATTTCCAATAATTATCTTTAGCCGATTTCTCTAATATTGACA